TTTCATGCCTAAGATTCTGTCTGAGCTCCTTCCATCATGGTCAGTTGAGCTGTAATGTTACAGCCCCCTCTTGTGTCCAACCCTTTCCTGTGTAGTTTTTGTTCATGTGAATCAAGGAATGCCCTTCCTGGTCCATGGTTGGCTCCAGCTGGGAAATTGTGGCCTTCCCTCACTTTAGCCAGCTGCTTGTTTCCGTTTCCTGGAGCCTGCTTCCTGATTGGTCAGCCAAGTCCCCGCTACACCATTGATGCATACACCCTGAGACGCAAGGAACCTGAAGAATATAAAAGCCTCGACAACCTAACAGTCATGGCAACTGCACTTGGCTACCAGACATGCCTCTTGTGTCTTACAAAGTTATCTTGTTAGTTTGCCTCATCTTTTTTACTTTTGGAATCATAATTACATCTGGTTTTATGTTTTCCTTCCCCACTCAAGCTAAGGGTTGTGTGGTTCCTCTCCTCTTCTGAAGGAGACAAGGCTTGAGTTTTGAGCAGCACCAGTCTGTGCTGTGCCCTGTCAGAGAGTGCAGATGCCGATAAACCATAACACTCAAACTTAGCACCATAGCTGCTGGTCCTGAAGAACCTGTTCATGTTCCTTCTGACATTATAGAAACAAACAAACATCTGCAGCTCAATTTTGGCCTATCTAAGCACATCCTAAACATCCATAGCAACAAACTGCTTTGAAGATCCCTGTGTGTGTTGTATCCCTTTCTTCTGAATAGAAGAATATAAGGGGGGCCTTTTGAAATTAAAAAATCAACGGTGCATAACCTTCCTTTGTCAGCCCAGCACTGTTGTGAACTCATGCAGGACTAAGCAATAGTGCAGGATGCCAAGCTCCGCTGGATCCAGGGAAGCCAGTCAGTCTGGCCTGTGGGCTGCTTTCACATTGGGTTTATCGACAGCATGATGATAATGAGAATTAAAGCAGTAAGTGATTACAACAAGCCTGCTCTCAGCCTTTCAACCAACCTGTCAGGCCTGGAGGGAAAGACCGTCAGTCGTGTGGTTCTGGGCAAACTGGTGGAAAAGAACAAGGACTATGTCCAGGTAGGACCTCAGATTCATAAGGAATATATGCGTACAATACAAATTGACAGAATTACATTTGCTCTGACATTGTTACACATGCATATGGGGTTTGACTGGCAAAAGCTAAATCTCTGAAGGTCTCAGTGACTGTATGTAGGCATATAAATTAGTATAGATTCCCCTCAACTCATTGAAGGCAGAAATTCATACTCTTGTTTTTGAGTTCAGAGAACAGGTAGACAGACAGAAAGCAAGAAAGAAATGATAAACTAGTTAATGGTCTGTTTTTATATAGCACTTTTCTAGTCTTGATGACCACCCAAAGTGCTTCACAGTAAAAAATAATGATAATAACAATAATAACTAGAATTTGTATAGCACCTTTCAAGGGACCCAAGTACACTTTACACATTTGAGGGAGAAGGACATACAGTTTTACATTCACACACACATTCATACATTGCATCTATGTGCAGCACTTTCTCTATAAGAATGGACAATTTGGGTTCTGTATCTTTCCCAAGAACACTTTGGCATGCAGAATGGTTGAAACACCAACCTTATGGTTAGAGAATGATCAGTCTTACCCCTGAGCCACAGAAAGAAAGAAAGAAAGAAAGAAAGAAAATTAATTATTTTACCTTCTGAACGGTCAAATGTCTTCAAGAAAAACATGATGTGTACAAATTCTATAGGTCATACAAATGTGTATCATTAGCCTGTCATAAAACTTACATGGCCAAAACACCATCACTGGTAAAATCCATGAAAATGTATTCAAAACCTCCACTGTAACTGTCACGAAAAATATGAGACTTTAATTCATTTGGATTTAGGCTTATTTCCACAGAGAGGAAGGACTCAATAAAATTGTGAAATGAGTGAGCTGAAAAAACAGTGAGAAAGAAATAGTGCTGGATTTTGGGGATAGAGTCTTTCTCTTTCTATTTCACGTTGTCTAACATTAATGTTCAGTCTGCACTATTTAGCACTAGGTGCTAATACAGGAAAATGATAAAATTAAAAAGAAGACTGCAAATGTTTTTCTCTCAACGTTTTCACTGACCCCTCTCTATTTTCCCCTATTTCATTAAAACACATGTTAAAGGCTGAATTTGACAAACTGGTGAAGCCAGATGAGCTCTTAGATGTATAAGAGCATAAACAAATAATCTACTGTTCATCAATTATCTTTTTCATTTCCCACTTATCAATTGAAGCCACATTTTTTGTGTTTTCATTATCAGGGTAATCACAGGCTGACCTATATGGAAATAAAAAAATGATGAATCAAATTCAAGTTTATTTGTCTAGCCCATATTCACAAAACACAGTTTACCTCACAGGGCCTAATAAATAATCTTTAACTGATCTAACATTTTGGTATCCAGTTTTGATGATAATATGGTCATCTGTGTCGAATGGGTATTGCCAATTTAAAAAACATGTGGTTCCTAAAACGTTTTTTTCTTTTGTGATCCCAAAGATCCTGATTGTGGTGGCAGCTGGTCATGGAATATAATTATATGCCTGCTCACATATTCTACCATTACTGACAATAGCTCCTCAATTCATTTGTCATTGCTGCTCCCTTCATCTCTATCAGACCTTTTTTTGTGTGCAAATACTTAAAACATTGACACACTTCCCCATTATGTTACAAACTGTTTATTCTATCCATCGATGTAAATGCTGTTGATGCGTCCTGGGAGCGGGATCACTCGCATGTGGCTTTCTCTAAGGTTTCTACGCCCTTCGTGTGAATACTCGTGTGAATCCTAAACTGACTCTTTCTTTCGATGCGGTTAAATGTGTTGCCCTGCGCGCAGGTTCCGTTTTAAAGCGTCATAGTAACACTGCGCTCACTCTAAAAACCAAAGCAAGCACATACAAATAATGTAGCCAAGTATTTACATAAAAACAAGAGTGAACACCGCCTATAGTTTCAGTAGAAAGTAAAGGTAACTAATAAATTGATCATGATGTCAGGCCTTTGTCTCAAGAGTGATTTCCCTTGTGCTTGCTCTCGCGTTAATGTTGAGTCCCAATTTATAATGAGCACAACTCTGATCACGCTTGTGCCTCATAATTCTAAATATTTCCAAAGCTGTTGATTGGCTTAACGCCGGGTAGCTGGGTTAAAGAGCTTGCCACGGGCTGGGACTAGTTGAAGTGTACAGGAAACATGAAAAAATGAAAAAGCTGCATTTCTTCCAGAGACAGATCCAGACACATCGAGGAATAGAGGGGGTGTTAGGAGTGCAAACACTCTTTGTTTACACAAACGGAGACATGGGGGCCGAGAGGTTTACAAAGACCTTTTTTTAATACAATGAGATCGTTTGACGCGATACTTTCGTACATTGAAGTCAGCTACCCTGCATGTTTCAGCGTAAGGCTTTCGGGGAATAGTTTCCATCGCATCTGTCTACTTTTTTTTCAAATATGTGAGTGATTCTTCTCCATTATAGCCCCACTGCTTTGCCGACAAAGTTAGAGATGCAGGGTTGTCAACGCTGGCTTCAGTGCAAACATTTGTGCAGACACCTCCTTCAGACCCGATGGGCCAGACGCACAGAGGAGGGAGCCTCCCGCTCCGGCTTTCAGCGTCACATCCCCGTCTCGGCTCTCCACTGTGTTGCCTATAGTGAGATGTGCCCGGCTTTTTATGAAAGACGTAGTGGGCTATTAAGTATTATAGCCACCACAACATTTCGTATTTCAGTATAAAACGTCCTTTTTAGACGTGAACATCTACAAATACACAGATAATAACAGTAGATTTCTTATTCGCCTAAATACCACTGCAATTCGTCCGGTGATATAAATGCAGTGAAATGACAAACGCACACGCACGCACACAAATGAAATAAATACTGAATATATATGTAATATTATCGTTCTTTCTTTCTTTGAGAACCAACTTCCTACAAGACACATGCCGGTGTGCTGCTGGATAACCAGTACTATGGCTTACATCTCACCATAACAACACAACAATCTGATTTCACTTATGATCTCTGCTGCCCTGTCTTATTATAACATTATGATGAAGGATCACTGCTCATAAACAGTTGATGCTATTTAGAGGACAACTTTGTTCATCAATACACAATTAGTTACAATGTGTTGCCTAGTCCTTCAATGAAGGGAGCTATATAGTTTCACCTTTATTCAGCTTTACTTAAGACTTACAAGAGTCTAAGTATTGGATTAATCATGTACAGTCACACTGTTAAATCTAGGCAGGTTGGCGAGTCATCAAAAACCAAAACATGGGATAAGATTATTTGGTCTCCCTCCAGTGTTAACAGCAAAGCAAATGCCATTGTACATTTTCTTGAAACAAAATGTTCGTCAAAGCAACGGAAAAAGAAGCAGAAATGTTTATCCTAAAAATTACTGAATGAGCTTAGTTTAGACTTGATCTGTATATACAGCTGCTCTTTCAGGCTGTAACTAAACAAGATGCCAAAGACTGTTTTCAGTGTCGTCTGTAAACTAAATGGGAATTCTACATTTCAGGTGCTGCAAATGCAGGCCAGGTCCACATTAGCTGTTCATATTATTTATTTCCAGCCCACAATGTAGCCAGAACACTGCCACCATCAATATTTGAGCCGATGATGGAATTAATTGTTGACATGTCTTATAATAACACAATGTTAATGCGATGGCCCATGTACCCTTGCTCCCACCAGAAAACTAGGGGGTTTATTACATCTAGTAACAGGATGTTTCCGCTGTTCCCTGAATGCATCATATGCTGCGCTTCCAGGGAATTCCGGAAGCCTCACATGACACCAGCTCTTCAGCTGTATTGGTCAAAGGCACGTGCCTGCGAGAGCCGTAGTATAACGTCACCACAGCGTCTCGCAGCCAATCAGAAATGAGAACCAAAATCCGTAGTCAAAGTATTTGAACCGCGTCCTTATAAAAGCACTTCGGTGCTGCTGTAGCATCACTAATTTTGTGCAAGGAGCCGCAAAAATTAATCAGGCTACATTTGAGGTTTTTTTCCAACTTGGGTTGGTCTAGAGTTTTTGATTCACAAATCTGAGCAGCAGGTCCAGCGATGAGGAGCAGAATTTCACCACAAGCTGAAACATGATTTTTCTTTGTCAAAGATCATAAGAGGCGCCTTTTCACGGCTACATATAAACAATTGTGCCGAAAGGGATCTAGCATAGGATTTCGATCTGATTTTGACAGATATATATTGTACTTAATTGATAAGAGAGTGAACAGGACACATCACAAAAATTGGAATTGCTAGTTTGTAGAAGGACGCACAGAAAGGTGCTGGCTGTGACCAGGCTTCATTATTATGGAAGAGAATGCTCGCCGAGACCCAGAGCGCCCAGAGGACTCCAGTCAAGACGAGGAGTCCAACCGGGCCATCCTGCCCCTCCTTCACCAACCTGGCAACCAGCAGTCCCACGCGATCACCAATTTTTATATTGACAACATCTTAAGACCGGACTTTGGCCGAAAGAGGAAGAACGGGACTTTGGTCCAGGAGGAAGACAGTCTGGCAGTAGTTATACGAAGAGAGGAGCTAACTGGGAGAAAGCCTTGCAAAACTAGCAACCGACAACAAGGAGAACCAAGAGACGAGGAGGACATTGGAGCAGAGCCTCTGGACCCTGAGGACAGGAGACCTGATTTGATAGTTGGTGATGGAGAGGGCAGCGGGGATCGCAGCCCTCAGGCCAGCTCGGCCTCTGAAGCTAACCCGATGCTGTGGCCAGCCTGGGTTTATTGTACCCGCTACTCAGACCGTCCATCATCAGGTTGGTGAAAAATAAAACTATACTAATATAACTCCTCGTTCACCTTTTCTTAATTCAACGAAATAATGTTATAATAAAATGCATCGAAGCTCAATTACGATAGTTTATTCCGAGTCACTAAAGAAAGCTTAATTGTAGAAATCATCCAGCCTCTTAGTATGAGTGGAATTAACCAGTTTTCAGATAAAAGTTTTGCAGGCAAATTCCTTCGAAAAAATATATATAGCCTAACATTTTATTCCCTCAGTGTTCGTTCCTCAATTCTACTTAATAGACTTATCGATTGTAACAATCGACGAAGTAGTTAGCCTATTGCACTCATAACTAACATTATCTTGATTATTTTATTGGCTATTTTCAGTAGGGGATTTGTTACAATATACTCCAACGATTTTTACACAAAAATATCTACTTTAAATCCGAATTACAAACAGTTTCTTCTTGTTTTGGATGAATTTCGATCTGGATACTAGTTTGAAAATAAGGATGAAGTCGATGAGATTGAACAGTGCCACCAAAAGGTGTTAAAATTAAAACTGATATCAAAAAGGTCTGTGAGGCGAGAGTAAAATCAAAATGTGGAAAAGTGAAGTAAAACCAAGTTTGACGCCATTGTTCCTCTGTCTTCTTTGTTAATATTACATTAGCATATTTTTTTTGACAATGGGGGTGGGGTGTGTGTGTGTGTGTGTGTGTGTGCGTGCGTGTGTCGGGGCAATATAAAAAGTGAGGGTCCTGTACGAGAAGAGATGGACTCAATGTGAAATGCTAAACAACGCGGCTTTAAAGCCCTTTATTCTGCCAAACGAATAAATGAATAAATAAATAAATAGATAAATAGGCAAGTCATTTGGACATCATCTCCTCGATAAGGTCTGAAATCATTGCAAACATTTAGCAATTCAGACCTCTAGTTTTCTGCATGTTTTCGCGCCTTCTGTTTTAAACTGTGTTGCTCAATTTCAATAAAATGTTTGCTCGTTGCAAGGCTGCATGCATCGTTCACTTTGACTTTTCCTTTGTCATGATCAAAACTTTGTTTAACAGCGGATGATTTTGCTCTATGCGGACATGCTTTTGATCAAATTTAGGATGAAGCGAATCAAGTTAGAAATTTCGAGATTTAGTATTTTTTTATTATTGTATAGAGATAAAAAAAAAAGTTTCTATTGAGTTCTGAGTCTTCAGTGTCGAGCTTATGGAAATGAGCACAAAGGGCCTACAGGCTGCAGTTCCCTCTTAAAGAGGTCACAGGTGTTCAGATAGCTCGCTGTTTATTGTAAAAAAATAATGAAAGCCTTTTACTTTAGTGTACACGTAAAACAGTGTTGGATGACACAATTGATTGGGGCCTGTTATATTACTTTTGCCCTTTATTACAGAGCAAAGCTTTGACTAATTTGTCCGTCCGTTTGATTTATTTTCCTTTTAACTTCACGTCACGAGATAAATACCTAAATGTTAAATGTTAGTTAAAAGCAAGAACTCCTATAATAACGGGGATGGAACGAGGCGCCCTACTTCCTCTGTATATTCTAACCCAACCCCTATCTGCACCCTCGTCCTCGGTCCGTTCTCACTAAAGTGTACTGCAGTTGGCCTAGACACACGCACACACACACACACACACACACACACACACGCACACACAAACACATAAATAGACTTAACACACCCGTTTTATAATATTTAACAAAAGTACTCGTTCTCATAACATGCCTGTGATTTAACTACTGACCCTAACCGCTGGCTGTCATTTTTGTCTTCACCCCCACCCTTACCCTAAGGGCCCAGATCCCGCAAACCAAAGAAGATGCCGACCCCGAGTAAAGAAGACAAGAGGCCCCGCACGGCCTTCACGGCGGAGCAGCTTCATCGGTTGAAATCTGAGTTTCAGAACAATCGGTATCTGACCGAGCAGCGGAGGCAGAGCCTAGCCCAGGCCCTTGGTCTCAATGAGTCTCAAATCAAAATCTGGTTTCAGAACAAGCGGGCCAAAATCAAGAAAGCTGCTGGGAATAAAAACTCTTTGGCGCTGCATCTCATGGCACAGGGACTGTACAACCACTCCACGAACCAGGACGATAATTCGGACAGTGACTAGGGGAACACAAGAGTGTGTGCGTGTATGTGAGTGTGTGTGTGTGTGTGTGTGTGTGTGTGTGTGTGTGTGTGTGTGTGT